GGTGAAGGCAGATGGGCAGTCAATAATATGTGTTCGATGTGGAAGCAGGATCCAGTCATGTTATCGTTTTCTATTTCTGTCATCATCTTCGCCAACCCTTAATTAACAATTCTGCATCTCATATATCTTTGCTGTGTTATCATTCTTTTTCTGTGTGGTTTTTTAGTGCTGGGACTTGAGTCGTTATACTTGTGTCTCTCTATTGTTGCTCATCATATTGCTTTAATAATTAAGCCAGAGTTTATAAATGCCATTCTTACTGTGAAGCCAAAGATCTTGTAAGTGAAGAAATCAATCCGTAACTGACTGCCTTATCCCCCTATGTGTAGACGAGATGATCTCGCATTGACATACTTCTAAATCTTCATCAATGGTACGACAAGAGTTATTATCTTCGTGTGTGTTATCCGTTGGAAACATTAGCAGCTGTTTCCAGAAGGTTTGTTATAACAATGACTGACGTATCAAAAAGGGACTATTATGATGGACAATCATGGGCTTGTCTAAGAGCACATTTACTAGGAGAGTTGTAAAGACAATATTTAACCATCTCATCAGAAGCCTGTAACCGTTGATTCTTAGGTTCTTTGAGACTCCATCTCCCTATACGATTCACACAATGACTTTATAGATTGATTTCACATTTTAGCCTGGTCACCTCGAACTCTTTTTCATCGCAATCCTACTTAAGCTTACATAACTTCGTTGAAGAAAGCAGTTAGTTCAGCATGCGCAGCTCAGCTCAATCGATACTGCTTCATAACCTCATCAATCGACTTATCTTCGTTAATTAGTTCTAAGCCTAATCTTATTGTCACTGACTATATTGATTGACCTCACCAAGAGCAAATGGACGACGATACCTGTGCCTACAAATATTTTTATATCTGCATTTGGCCACCATATTTCAGGTGGAAAGTAGAACAGAACAAGTTGGTGCTCAGTACTGTAAGGTGTGGCATTAAGAATGTGGATTTATCTATGAAGCTACCGTACATGAGTGATCATATCAGTGTGGTAATTAGACAAGGACTGAATGCTACGGTTAAAAAGACCTCAAGCATCTAAGACGCGAATAATTGAGAATCTAAAGCCTATATTATCCAACTAGGCCCTTAGAGCAAACGAAGAATGATATCACACCCCAATTTGAATGTACTTGTGTTCACAAATATGTAGGGAGGACTGATTGATCTCTGCAAACAATGGCTTCAGAACATATCCCTAAATGAGTTCATGAGCGAATCGGATCCCTTGAACTTATTAATGGTGAAAAAAGCCGCCTAGCTCTTCTATTGAGAAACATATTATAGAGACAGGACATAAAATTGATGTTTACATCTGTTTTAAACGTATCTATAAAACGTGTTTGTGGAAGCCCTAACGATTAGGAAGTTAACTGATTAGAAATACCCATTAAAATTTTCAAAAGAATGGCTATTGAACAAAGAATATTCCTTTCGATAATTGCTTCTTCATCAGGTTCTACAGTTATACATATACGTATAATAGTGAATGAATTAGTGTTATTAACAACATTAATGTTGTCTAAATAACATCGAATCAATAATAATATCAATGGATTACAGTTCGATAGCATCAACATAACAATACACTGAATATCAGACGGACAAATTAGGAATAATAATACAAATTCATGAATCTATAGTTTCCACTGAAGGCCAGGTCAGTAGACGTGACTGCACTTGTTTTTTCTGCACACAAAGCATCGATTGATTCAGACGAATCGCGATAGCCTCTGCTGTTTGGAGTATGCGGTACCTGGATGTTTTAGTATCCGATAGATAATGGAGAAGGACTCTTCAATATTAGCTTTGTGGCCAGTTCGGACCAGATGGTCTAACATCGAGCTATCGATGCTTCTCACTACACCTTTATTTAACCACACTGGTAGATGTTCCCGTGAGAGCACGAAAAATCAAGTTCCTAGAGCAACGGCCAATATAACTCGTTCCACAAGCTCAGTTGAATTGGTAGATAGAATTAGAAGTGGCTGGTCTAGGTACTTTATCTTTGAACTGATTTTCTTAACTTCTTCGTAATTATCTCGCTAGGTATATCGCCCTTGAATAATTTGTCATCACATTAAACCTTCTTTGGTAAACTTTGTTTTGATACCAGGACGGATGTACTATTATATATTCCATTGTTATTTTGACCCTCAGTGTATCCTTTTAACCTGACCTGTGTCTATTCCCTCACCCTTTAATGCTTTATTATTTTCATATAAATTCTTATGACAAGTAGTTGTGTGGTCAGATTGTTCGAAATGTGTTGCGTAAATACTACATTACA